CGGAATAGAGCATGGGGAGCATGACTTCCCTAGATCTAGACACTAGGCTCCTCTTGATGCAGGCCAAAATCCGATTGGCTTTTTTTGCCACCACATCACATTCCTGCTCATGTTTAACTTGTTGTCCACGAGGACACCAAGATCTTTTTCACATATACTGCTCTTGAGCCAGGCCTCATCGTCCCCCATTCTGTCTCTTTGCATTTCGTTTTTCCTGCCAAAGTGGAGTCTCTTGCATTTGTCACTGTTGAACTTCATTTTGTTAGTTTTGGCCCATCTCTCTGATCTGTCAAGATCGTTTTGAATCCTGCTCCTGTCCTCTGGAGTCTTGGCTCTCCCTCCCAATGTGGTCCCGTCTGCAAACTTGATGATCCTGCCTTCTAACCCTTCATCTAAGTCATTAATAAAGATCCTGAGCATGACCGGGCCCAGGACGGAACCCTGCTGATGGCCCTCCACTCGTCACTTCTTTCCAGGATGAAGAGGAACCATTGGGGAGAATCACCCTCTGGGTTCGTCCATTTAACCAATTACAGATCCACCTCACCGTAGTTTTGCCTAGCCCACATTGGACTAGTTTTGAGAGGGATCCAATGGAGCAGCAGAAGAGTGTGGCTTCAGTGTGGTGTGCATTGCAGGCGTTTGTCCCTTGAAGCCGGGCCTGACCCCTGGAGGACCCCTTGGCCCGGCCCTGCCTTCCCCTTGACCGGTGCCTGGTGTTCCTGGAGAGCCTTTGAGCCTCTGTCCCTGGAGCAGGCTGCGCGTCAGCAGCGGTCAGGCGGTCACCGGGGAAAGCGGTCACCACCTCGCCTTCGTCCGGAAGGATCATAATGTAATAACTCCCAAACATGCTAATATTTATCATGTACAATAGCCTTATCTAAGCCCTTGGCCCGCCGTCGCAAAGGCCCGCTTTGAATAAATCCCGCCGTATTTATTATTTTTACTGAACCCGACCTTCCTGTCACCTCGCTTTTATGGCTGAACGGCTTATACGTTCCCAAAGGATTATTTGCAGGGAAAGGAGAAAATCCTGCCTCCCTGGCTGCCAGCCTCTCCTTATCAGCAGGGCAGGAGTTCACTGCATTGTCAGGACAGGTCAGCGCGGGGCCGCGGAGGGCTCGGAGGCCAGCCAGGCACCTGCAAAGCCTCCGCAGAGGAGGCCAAGCCCCATCGGGACACCGGGAGCTCTCCAGGAAGCCCTGAACTTTGGCAGGAAGGGCAGGCCAGGGACTGAGAGGCCGAGCTGCGCTGAGGACATGAGAACCAAAGGCAGGCCACCATCGGGTGGTAAGGGCAGCTCTCGTTTGAGTCATGCATTGGCCGCCTTCATAGAGCGGGAAGGGACCCCAAAGGACATCCAGTGCACCCCCCTTTCTGCCAAGTACAAGGACACCATCCAAACATCCCCAACAGATGGTCATCTAGACCAGTGATCCTCAAACTGTGGGTCCCCAGGTGTTTTGGCCTACAACTCCCAGAAATCCTAGCCAGTTTACCAGCTGTTACGATTTCTGGGAGTTATTTATTATTTATTTGTTTGCAGCTTTTCTATTCCGCCTTTCTCCTCACCCCTCAGGGGACTCA